ATTTTTAATTAGATTTTTATCAGATTTTAATCCAGAAATTTGTTAACAAAACTTGTGATTTTCCAGAACTAAAAAACCAGATTTTTTCCTGATTTTTGTCTTATTTTTTTTTACAGAGTAGGTGATACTTTATTTGTCACTATATTGCAACAATTGCTACGTTATCTTTAAACTTAACTATTTGTTCTATCCAAAACCATCTGCAAAAGTATTATCTCAATGCTCAGAAAGTCAGTCAAAATGAAAGTGAACCTTTTTCTAAATACACCAAACTCAATAATACATTACTTATTCCTTATTGATCTTAATGATCTTTGATACATACAAGCTCAATACAAAATTTTAGAATTATTTTACAGACTCAACAATCAGAATATAAATTCTTTCACTACCATCTGCAGGCTCATCTAACTCCAACACGATTATTGATTTTTCAGATTTCTCCTCTCACAACCTTTTACTGAACCCAGTCCAATAGGACACAATCTCATTATCAGTATTATGTCTATTATGCATGATTTCAAAATATTATTCTTCTCCTTATTTTAAATCATGAATAATAGCAATCTCTACAATCACACATGATCATTGAATAGGATTCCAAAAAAAAGTCTGGTTCAGTTCGAGCTTGAACCAGACTCGAACCTGACGAAAAGTCCAGTTCGAAAATTCAAATCTAATTAAAAGTCTAGTTCAAGTTCAGTTCAAATTTCGAATCAGATTCAAACCTGACAAAAAGTTTGGTTCGAATTCAAGAATATAAGATAGTTAATATTTAGGATAAATATTTAAGAAGTTATATGAATTTAAAAAATAATTTTAATTATTACGATTTTAATCTACTTTAGTTTTAGTATAATAAATATTTATTTTACTATAGTAATTATAAACTATGGTTATAAGTAAAGTTGTAGCCAGAAATAAGAGCTACAAATTAGTATAAGATAGTTATTATTAATAATAATTATTCAGAGAGTTACATAGTATTTATGATCAAATTTAATAAACGTAAAAATAAAAATACTTTAGTTATCACTATGTAAACTTTTAATTCTTATTAAATACTATAAATTGTGCTTATAAATAAAGTTATAGCTTATATTTAGAGTTACAAATTGGTATATGATACTATATACTGATCTTTAATCAAACTCGAACCAGACTGAACTTATATAATGATTCAGTTTGAGTTTGGTTCGAACTTCGAATCTTTCTTGAACTCAAGCCAAAGTCCAGTTCAAATTTTGAACTAAACTCAAACTCAAGTAAAAGTTTAGTTCAGTTCAATTTATAGAAATACTATAATATGTATAATGATATAATGAAATAAAATTTACATATCTATTTTTAATATAATATCACATGATTATGAATTCTCATTTAGATATCTCCTAAAAAAAGCAATGATTCTAGTTTAGTACAATACAAATTATGTGACTGAACTCATTTCCAAGCTACTAATAATTTTTTTCAAACAATAATCTCTTGAAATATTATAATGTTAAATGATACCAACAGAGAAATTAGAAAACCAATACAAAATATAATCTATACTTTCCCAAACATTTTATTGCAAGTAAAATCATCCAAATTATATTTTAATAATATTTTCACCTGATCTGTAACATTACAAGATAATACTATTATGTTAAAATAATTCACAGTATCCAAAATTTGAAAAGTAATAAAGAAATTTGATTTATGAAAGTATGAAAAAGACAAAATGTGGAGATCTATCTGTGAGAAAATAAAAACTTTATAATATTACATGATCCATATTACAGAATAAACAACTTTATAATATCAGTGTGGCGTTACTTGAGTCACGGGACTGCTCCGCTTTAGCCCTGTATTAGTAAAAACATCGAAGTTCAGAGAACATGATAATGGTCCGAGGAATATTTTCTGGTTTTGTGTGATCTATAATCTACATTTTTTTCACGACGCGTTCTTGACTAACTTTCTGCAATTTTAACTAAAATGGTAATAAATTCTTGGGATGCCAGAAATAAAATATTTTTTTGGTTGTGACTTTCTTTGTTTAATATTCAGACGCGTATTTAGCTTAAAGACGCGTTATTTTTTGTTTCAATGCGCTTTATCTCGTATTTTTATCGTTCAACAATTTAATAGTCTTCTAATCACCGCAAAAGAAGAAGAGATGCAACCCCCACTACTCCCACTGCCTCGAGGAACAGTGGCTTGATTTCACTTCCTCCAGACTCTATGTTTGATTCGCCTAGGATAGAATCGGATGACGATGATATTCAAGAAGAAGACTTTATACAAAATGATGAATTATCTTTAGGTTCTGATGAAGAAGAAGGCGATGATTTAATAGGAGAAGGCATGGAAAAGTAATAATAATGTTTATTATTTACGGATTCTATAGATATCAATTATATGTCAAATATGCCTTATTCATCCAAATCATCATTTTTTTTGATCTTGAAGTGATTATCGAGCAAATCCACGACTTGATCAATATGACGCAGGAAGTGCAGACGAAGATGAAGTTGATGAAATAGATATAGAAACTCGTCGCCGTGTCGACGCTGAATTGAATCAACGTGATGTCGAAAGAGCAAGACAAGCTGGTCGAATGCCTTTTGGTATTTAAATTTACAAACACTATAAGTATTTTGTGTGAATTAAATTCATTTTCTATATTCCAATTAAATGTTATTTTATTCACTATATTATAGTGCTTGATGATGGTACGGTTGGAATGGATTTCCTTTCGCGCAAAAATATTGATCAAGAAGACGGTGATGACGATGATGAAACATCAGAAGATGATGAAATGGTGTTAATTATTATTAATATAAGTTCAATTTATAGCTTTTTTTAACAAAAAGTTTTCTTGTGCAGGAAATTTCCGAACAAGATTTAGCGCATCCAAAGACATCTACAATCCTCGAATGGCTCTTATTGCCGAATATCCGCAAAACGGTCGAACGCATCTTTCGGAGATTCTTGTACAAGTTCAGTGAGGGTGAGGGTGGTTCAGCATCATATTATGGAGACCGTATTTATGAGATGGCTATAGGTAATAGCTTTTTCCATAAAAATCTATTATTTTTTTCCATGGTCTTCAGGTGTACTAATTAATTTTTTATCGTTTTAAATATAGCCAATAATCAAACGCTTGAAATTAGCTATATTCATATCTCTGAATTCACCGGAATATTGGCACTATATCTCATCAATTGTCCTTCAGAGATGCTAAAAATATTCGAAGACATCGCTCATAAAGTCACCTTGCGAAAATTCGAAGCCTTTAGCTCGATTCATGAAGAAGTACATGTTCGAATAACTGAACTGCCAACCTATGGTACTCTCCGGGATTTACGGTATTGATTTTTTTATTTTTTTGATTGCCTTTCAGATTTATTAACATATCTCTTACAAAAATCAGACAAGAAAATCTTAATACATTGGTGCGCGTATCTGGTGTCGTAACTCGTCGAACTGGAGTGTTTCCCCAATTGAAATGTGTTCGCTTCAACTGTTCTAAGTGCGGAAATGTCTTGGGCCCATTTACTCAAGATGCTCAAAGTGAAGTAAAAGTTAACTTTTGCAGCAGCTGCCAATCAAGAGGGCCATTTACTTTGAACTCCGAGCAGGTAGACTATTAATAGATATAGATAGGTTTTTTTATTTTTGATTTCAAGTTTTAACTGTTGCGTCTGATGAATTTAGACTATATATCGGAACTATCAAAGAATTACTCTCCAAGAAAGTCCGGGAACGGTACCTGCAGGACGTTTACCGCGACATCGAGAAGTTATTTTGTTGTGGGACTTGATTGACACCGTTAAACCAGGCGAAGAAATTGTATTGTTATTGAATTACTTAATATTTGCGTTTTTTATATGACAAACGAAAATTCAAAGTTTACTTTATTGTTGATTAGGAAGTTACTGGTATTTATCGAAATAATTATGACGCTTCCTTAAACACAAAGTCTGGCTTTCCGGTATTCGCCACTGTAATTGAGGCCAATTATATAAGTAAGAAGGAAGACTTATACTCTGGTTTCCGTCTTACTGAAGATGACAAAAAAACAATTCAGGAACTTGCTCACGACAAAAATGTTGCAAAACGGGTATTTTCTAAAATTCTTTTTCTGCTTTAATTAATTAATTAATAAATCGAACGTTAAAATTGTAGTATACACTATTATTATAATAGATTATAAAAAGCATTGCTCCCTCAATTTTCGGGCATGACGACATTAAAACGGCAATCGCGCTCTCATTGTTTGGAGGGGTGCCTAAAAATGTCGGTGGGAAGCACAGACTACGCGGTGATATTAATATTCTTATGCTTGGAGACCCGGGTACTGCTAAATCCCAATTCTTAAAATACGTGGAGAAAACTGCACATCGTGCTGTCTTCACTACTGGTCAAGGTGCATCGGCAGTAGGATTAACTGCATCTGTAAGAAAAGATACAGTTACCCGAGAATGGACCTTGGAAGGTGGTGCTTTGGTGCTTGCTGACAAGGGTGTATGTTTAATTGACGAATTTGATAAAATGAATGATTCTGACAGGTATGTAAATTAATAAATTTGATATCAAAATTTGAATAATCTATAAATTTAATTTTATATTTGTATAAAGAACGAGTATTCACGAGGCAATGGAGCAACAAAGTATATCTATCTCTAAAGCTGGGATTGTCACTACACTTCAAGCCCGATGTGCAGTAATAGCAGCCGCTAATCCTATTCGAGGCCGATATAATTCATCGGTGCCGTTTTCCCAAAATGTTGACTTGACCGAACCCATATTGTCCCGTTTCGATGTGCTCTGTGTTGTCAGAGATATAGTTGATCCGATAAGTGACGAGAACCTCGCAGACTTTGTAGTGAAAAGTCATATGCGAAGTCATCCAAAATTTGTTAATTCTAATGAAGATAATTTCGTAACTAGCATTAATGAAGACTATTCTTCTGACCCGAATATTCAAGTAATCAATCAAATTGCTTCTTTTTTAAAATTTTTTATTTCATGTTAATTTTGTTTATTTATTTATTTATTTTCATTTACAGCTTATTGATCAAGATATTTTGCGCAAGTACATTATATATGCGAAGCAAACGGACCCAAGATTGCATCAACTTGACTATGATAAACTTTCGCAACTATATTCTGACTTGCGTCACGAGGTAATTATTTGGACGATTATATTTAATGTTCAGATAAAAAATTCTCAACTTAAAAAAAAACAAAAATATTAGGCTGGTGATAGCATTCCAATTACTGTCCGTCATCTAGAATCTATGCTTCGATTGGCGGAAGCACATGCCAGGTATTCATATTTAAAAGTATTATTAACAATAAAACCCTAAAATATTTGTTCGAAATTTCTCTTTTGATTAGAATGCATCTTCGTGACAGCACTGACTCATCTGACGTTGACGTAGCCGTTGATGTCGTCCTGAAAAGCTTTTTTGCTTCTCAAAAGTTTTCAATTAGGAATCGACTTCAAAGGGTTTGTTTAAAAAAGAATGCTTGGTTCATTAATACTGATTCTTTCTAAAATTGAATTCTATTTACGAACTCTCTAGACCTTTGCTAAATATATGCGTAAGGCTCTTGAACCCAGCGAATTACTATTTAGTATATTGAATAGCATGTTGAAAGAAAAGATGCAAAATTCTGCTAATACCCGATCCAGAATTGAGATTCCGGTTGCTGAACTACAAAAAAAGGTAAGTTATCATTTGTAATTGATTTTTT